ATTCCTTCAGTTTTAGAAGGAAAATGCTCTGGGTGGGTCAGGAAGGTAGAGGAAATAACTTGAAAGAGAGCTCATTAGATAATTATGTCATTATGTAAGCAAAGCTCAATAAAGACCATTCATTACAACTGTGCGATCATTACCACACCTGGTGCCATGACTGTAGTTGTTACTCTGCCTGGCTGTTTTCCTGATGGTGACATCTAACTGTCCTTAGAACGCTATCAACTGTATTTGTTTCAAATGAATAGTCAGCTGCATGAAAGCATGCGTGTGTTGGGCCCGATCCCTGCTGAATGCATTTCACGCAGCAGCCACACACAGACCACCCATGGCTCAGCTGCAATAGTGTCAAATGAGCATCTTTGTTATTATTGTAGCTTCTAGAGGCCCCCCTTCCACTCATAATGGTTCATTCATATAGTAAGAGACTCTTCCGGCTTCTAAGACCTCACAATCTGAATAGACAAGACAGACACAGGGTGAGAGAAAGGAAATATTATTATCCGCATGTTACAGATGGGGAATTGAGGCAGACAGAAATTAGGTGATTTGCAGCCAAGATAGCAATAGAACCCAGATTACCCAAGACCCAGACCTTAACCACAAATCTATTCTTCCTCCCTGAAGAAATATTATCTTCTGATCACACGGGCTGAAGATTTGTGACTAGCACAATGTAATCCCAAAAAGTGGCAGTGTACACACGAAGACTGGTAGGAAAAGGACTATGTGCTTGGTGGATTCATGGGAATCCATCTCCTTGGTCCATGAGGTTGCTATCATTGTACATACCCCGGGGTCCAAGTACAGCCAGAGGTTGGGACTACTCTTATAATATGCAACTTGATTTTAGAACTTGATTGAAAAATGTTTATTATGTTTGCACAGAAAGGTGAACTCCTATACTGTACTTCACAATAAGCCATCCACTCACCAGCAGATTTCCTCTCCACTTGCAGAATGAATTAGGGTTGCCAACTTTCTAATTCCAGAAAACCAAACACCCCTGCCCCAATTCTTCCCTGCCCTGCCCCTCCCCTTGCTCACTCCATCCCCCTTCCTTCGGTTAGGACCACAAATTATCACAGCTGCAACAGGTCTATTAAAGGCCCACTCCAGAAGCCCAAACATATCCATAGAGCACAACCACAGAAATGCACACTTGTCCAGATACCTATAAAAAAAACCTGTAGAAACTGACTCCCACACCTACATGCAAATACACATGTGTATTCAAGTGTACACATCTAGCATGCACTAACACATATACTTCTATGTTATTTATTATTACAATTGTTGTTTAGTGCCTAGAGACCGCAACTAAGATCAGGGCTCCAGGATGGTAGGTGCTGGGCATACACATAAAAAGAGAGAATCTTCAACAAAGAGTTTATAATGTAGATAGACAAAGCTGGGGAGAAATTATGATACATTGGCTCTTCTGCAATTACTAGTCAACAACATTCACTTTTTAAGAAATAATACATTTCTTTTAGAGTTCCCTTCTCTTTTAAAAACTTGTTATGAAATGAATACACATACATTTTATGTCATCAATTTTTGTGTGTGCAAGCCAGCAAAGGGAATAAAAGTCAAGAGTTAGGCTGCAAATTTTATTCAGACAGGTATACACACATGCAGCACTACACGCACCTCCCTACACAAAGACACACAGTCACTTACACATATAAGGTGGAGTGTTTCACACAACACTGCTACTTTTCAGTTAAGCCTAGAAACTCCAAGTCAAGAATAGAAAAAGCCATCATCATCAACTCAGTGAGAACTATTGATACATCAATTTTTTCGACTTCTGGGAATGGGGAGGAGTTTAATGAAGACACCATACACCAAAACTATGGACTGAAAGGAAATGTGGTGGGAGAAATGGGAAGTTAGGGAAAAGCTATGTGCTGTTTCGGGGGAGTCTGTCTGTACAACTTAAACTCTGGTTGATATTGTGGAGCTGTTGATATAAAAATTGCTTTATTGTAAAAGGTATTTGTCTACAAGGGTGTGGATTCGGTCATTGGTGGTAAGGCTATATCATATCTCTGCCAGACCAGGAACAATGGTGGGTTGTTAGAGCTCAATGACTGAGTATTCAAAGTGAAGCACCCTGGGATAATGGGTCTGTTCAAGCTATGAGAAGTCACTTCCTCCTCCTGCCTGAAGGAAGGGAGGAAGTGGAGACAGTGGAAAATTACCAAACATAGAACAAAGAAGCAGACATGTTGATGGGATATATGAACTAGGAAGACTCAGAGATACACATAGAAACAGGAAGCACTGGGCAGGAGAGAGCAAGGGCATGGACCAGTCAAGGACAGAGAAGGCAAGCTGGGCTGAAAGACTCCATGAGAAAAAAGGAACCCAGCAAGTACCAGCCAGATGAAGCAGGAGACCCTGCCTGCCTACCTGAAAGCCCTAAGAATCCCCAAGGAAGGGTTAGCTAGTGAGCAGACTTGTGGTTAGGATGTTACAAGTTTTCTAAATGATTTGCATACTTTTTGTGTGATTACATAAAAGAGCAATGGTGTTAGAATTCTGTGCAAAGTGTCTCTGTGTTATACACATTACATCTACCTCATGTCTCCTGAGAGAGTGAAACTATAACCCAGAAGGCTCATACCTTATGTGTGATTATGGGAGAGTGTATGTTTAAGTTACTTAGCTGTATTGGGTGTCAGCATTTGTTCTGGCTACTTAGGTGTACTGGGTGTCAGCATTCCCTATGCAGGTGGGCTGAGGGACTCTTTTTGTGAAGGGGCAAAAAACTGAGGCGTGATGCATATCAAATGTTCCAGAGAGACCAAGGGAGGAAAGAGTGCTGCAGTCTGCTGAGACCCAGGGAAGCTTAAAATCCCTGGGGATCCAGAGGTTTGGATTCCCCTCACAACAATCTGGCACACAGCAGGCAAAGGGAGCCCAACCAGAGCTATGACAAGCTAGGTAAAGGAAGAAGATAGCTGGTTAAGCGACTGTATGTTGCTTGTTTGCGAGACACAGTGAAAACAATGGGCTAAACCCCTCCCTTGTTTATACCCATGCTGCATGACTGTAAGGTCAGAATTTCAGTGTGGTCATCATCAGACAGAGGAGAGCTACCGAAATTCTGTTTTTGCAGTGGCATCAGTATAAACTGAATCCAGAAAGTTAGCAAGCGAGATAAGATGGCAATTTAGATCAAGTTTGAAATAGTTAAGAGGAGAACAAGAAAATATGCCAAAACCATATTAGTTCAACATTAATTTTCAAATATGTTATGAACTTCTACTCCTGGTGAGCAGGAAGTGCATATCTCATCACCCCCATCCAGTAACTGGATGCTGACACATACCAATATTGCTTTTTATTTTGTTTTCTACAGCTCAGAACTCAGTGAATAAATTTGCTGCTTGAAGGAATCTAAGCAAGTGAGTGTCTTTTCTGAAGATGGAACAGCGAGCCAGCAGGCTCCCAAGCAGAGGTGCTGCCAAAGAAACTTGAGAGTGAAGCTGCTGAACTAAGATCAGAGATGTATCCTTAAGCAGAATTTATTCCCCAGTGAGCACCAGCTTTTTTAGCTCATTACCGTTTCTGAATAGTAAGTGTATAACAAAGACTTCAGTCGCAATAACTGTTCTAATATGGTACAGTACAGTTGATCCAATTGAAGCTATTTTCAACCAGTTTAGAATAAAGTGCTCTACCAGGCCATTACTAACAAGAAGAAGTGGGGTAAATCTTACTAAATCCATTGGTAGGATTGGCACTCAGAATTGAAAAAAATAAATTCCTGGGTCCAGGTCCTTGTTCCCATTATACCTTATCTAGACTGCTTGTGAGTCCCTCACATTAAAGGGAACCCCCGGATATTATAGAGCAGGTAGAGAGGTTCTATGCCATCCTTCTTCACACCCCCTAACACAGACGGTGTGATCAGGGGAGTCTGTATGGAGGTTGCATCTCTGTACTCCAACTATTTCTAGCTGCCAGATCGTAGGACCATGTGCAACTACGCATACTTTAAAACATCCTCAAGGCTGCTCTAAATTATGGTGGGGGCTAGAAAATGTTTGCCCCCTCTGTCCTATCAGTTCAATTGAATATGTCCTGGCTACTGCACAGGATCTAGTGTTTGGTGGAGTTTAGATGCACTGAGATTGGCTGAATATCCTGAATATCTTTTTATCCACTCAGGATCAAGCATGTATTCTGAGAGGGAAATGAGAAGAGGAACATTTAAAAAGAAAATATTGCTCACTTTTCCCTATAGTTGACAGGCTAAAGTCAGTGTGGGGTCTCAGATGAAAGCGGTTGTATGTTTCCCAATAGATTAACACTTGAAAGTTTACAATCTTGATGTAAATGAAAGACTCTACATATTCTTAAAACTTAAAAGACATTGGACCATTTTCTCAGCTGGTGTAAACTGATATAGCTCCAATGAAGTCACTGGAATTATGGTCAGTAAAATCATCATAATTAATCTTTAAGGAAAGGGGGGAAATGTTGAAGTTATTTAAAGAAAAGTTTAGAATTCTAGCTAAATTTAACTTAAAAAAAGATTGATTTTGGGCAACCCATTGTGACACAGTACAGCCTGGAGGAAGATTTGTGTTTACAATTTAAAGACAAACATGGAGAAAAGATGTAGGGATGGGGTGGTAAGGAGATGTACCATAGTTTTCAGAGGGAGTATAAGCATACACTATGCTAGTCCCAACTAGTATTTTTTAAAGATATTTGATTATATATTTAATATGACTAAAACTTAATGTTAGGGTGGTTTTGGGAGGAAGGAAGCTTGGGTTGAAGTGTGGATAAGGAAGGGACTGTTGGAATAAGAATGGAGAGTGGGTAAAGGGAGAGGGAAACTACAGAGAGAAGGGATTATGCTTTGACTATCTGTCACCTTTCCATGGGAAAAAAATAACTCACCGTAAAACTTTTATTTAATGAAATCATTTAAAAAGAACATTAATTCAAATCAAACTTTCTTAAAGGAAAAAAAATCTCAGTTGAAAAATCAGAAGGAGCATGGAGTTTGTTTCAGACACCAATGGGCAACATACTCTTGAGAAGACTTGGACTTATTTACATTTTAAAACTGAGAATTCCAGCTGACTGAGTGACCAAACTGAAACACTCAGATCAAATACCGGACTAAGCCCTGGTCTACACTAGGAGTTGAGGTCAAATTTAGCAGCGTTAAATCGATTTAACCCTGCACCCATCCACACGATGAAGCCCTTTTTTTCCGACTTAAAGGGCTCTTAAAATCGATTTCCTTACTCCACCCCCGACAAGGGGATTAGCACTGAAATCAGCCTTGCCAGGTCAAATTTGGGGTACCGTGGATGCAGTTAGATGGTATTGGCCTCCGGGAGCTATCCCAGAGTGCTCCATTGTGACGGCTCTGGACAGTGCTCTCAACTCAGATGCACTGGCGAGGTAGACAGGAAAAGGCCCGCAAAATTTTGAATCTCATTTCCTGTTTGGCCAGCATGGCAAGCTGCAGGTGACTGTGCAGAACTCATCAGCAGAGGTGACCATGCAGAGCTCATCAGCAGAAGTGACCATGATGGAGTCCAAGAATCTCAAAAGAGCTCCAGCATGGACCAAACGGGAGGTACGGGATCTGATCGCTGTATGGGGAGAGGAATCCGTGCTATCAGAACTACGTTCCAGTTTTTGAAATGCCAAAACATTTGTCAAAATCTTCCAGGGCATGAAGGACAGAGGCCAAAACAGGGACCCGAAGCAGTGCTGCGTGAAACTTAAGGAGCTGAGGCAAGCCTACCAGAAAACCAGAGAGGCAAACAGCCACTCCGGTCAGAGCCCCAAACATGCCGCTTCTAAGATGAGCTGCATGCCATTTTAGGGGGTTCAGCCACCACTACCCCAGCCATGTTGTTTGACTCCTTCAATGGAGATGGAGGCAACATGGAATCAGGTTTTGGGGATGAGGAAGATGATGATGATGAAGTTGTAGATAGCTCACAGCAAGCAAGCAGAGAAACTGGTTTTCCTGACAGCCAGGAACTGTTTCTCACCCTGGACCTGGAGCCAGTACCCCCCGAACCCACCCAAGGCTGCCTCCCGGACCCGCCAGGAGGAGAAGGGATCTCTGGTGAGTGTACCTTTTAAAATACTATACATGGTTTAAAAGCAAGCATGTTTAATGATTAATTTGCCCTGGCATTTGCGGCTCTCCTGGATGTACTCCCAAAGCCTTTGCAAAAGGTTTCTGGGGAGGGCAGCCTTATTCTGTCCACTATGGTAGGACACTTTACCACTCCAGGCCAGTAGCACGTACTCGGCAATCATTGTCGAACAAAGCATTGCAGTGTATGTGTGTACGTTCTTTATCTCTCTGTGTTATCCTCAGGAAAGTGATATCATTCATGGTCACCTGGTTGAAATAGTGTGGTTTTCTTAAGGGGACATTCAGAGGGGCCCGTTCCTGCTGAGCTGTTTGCCTGTGGCTGAACAGAAAAGTTCCCCGCTGTTAGCTACGGGGAGGGGGAAGGAGGGAGGAGCTAGCCACGTGGTGGGGGGAGGCAAAATGCGACCTTGGAACGAAAGCACATGTGCTATGTATGTAATGTTAACAGCAAGGTTTACCGTGAAAGAGTGTACCCATTGTTCTATAAAATGTGTCTTTTTAAATACCACTGACCTTTTTTTTTCTCCACCAGCTGCATGCGTTTCAAGGATTACAGGATCTTCTCCTTCCCAGAGGCTAGAGAAGATTAGAAGGCGAAAAAAACACACTCACGATGAAATGTTCTCTGAGCTCATGCTGTCCTCCCTTACTGACAGAGCACAGATGACTGCATGGAGGCAGACATTGTTAGAGTGCAGGAAAGCACAAAATGACTGGGAGGAGAGGTGGTGGGCTGAGGAGAGTAAGTGGTGGGCTGAAGAGAGGGCTGAAGCTGAAAGGTGGTGGCAGCATGATGAGAGGAGGCAGGATTCAATGCTGAGGCTGCTGGAGGATCAAACTAATACACTCCAGTGTATGGTTGAGGTGCAGGAAAGGCATCTGGAGCACAGACCGCCACTACAGCCCCTGTGTAACCAACTGCCCTCCTCCCCAAGTTCCATAGCCTCCTCACCCAGAGGCCCAAGAACGTGGTGGGGGGCCACCGGCCACCCAACCACTCCACCCCAGAGTATTGCCCAAGCAACAGAAGGCTGGCATTCAATAAGTTTTAAAGTTTTAAACTTTTAAAGTGCTGTGTGGCCTTGTACTTCCCTCCTCCACCACCCCTCCCAGTGCTTCTCTCCTCCACCACCCCAACCGGGCTACCTTGGCAGTTATCCCCCTATTTGTGTGATGAATTAATAAAGAATGCATGAATGTGAAGCAACAATTACTTTATTGCCTCTGCAAACAGTGATCGAGGGGAGGAAGGGAGCGTGGTGAGCTTACAGGGAAGTAGAGTGAACCAAGGGGTGAGGGGTTTCATCAAGGAGAAACAAACAGAACTTTCACACCATAGCCTGGCCAGTCATGAAACTGGTTTTCAAAGCTCCTCTGATGCGCACCACGCCCTCCTGTGCTCTTCTAACCATCCTGGTGTCTGGCTGCGCGTAACCAGTGGCTAAGCGATTTGCCTCAACCTCCCACCCTGACATAAACATCTCCCCCTTACTCTCACAGATATTGTGGAGCGCACAGCAAGCAGTAATAACAGTGGGAATTTTGGTTTCGCTGAGGTCTAACTGAGTCAATAAACTGCGCCAGCAGACTTTTAAACATCCAAATGCACATTCTACCACCATTCTGCACTTGCTCAGCCTGTAGTTGAACAGCTTCTGACTACTGTCCAGGCTGCCTGTGTACGGCTTCATGAGCCATGGCATTAAGGGGTAGGCTGAGTCCCCAAGGATAACTATTGGCATTTCAACATCCCCAACGGTTATTTTCTGGTCTGGGAATAAAGTCCCTTCCTGCAGCTTTTGAAACAGACCAGAGTTCCTGAAGATGCGAGCATCATGTACCTTTCCCGGCCAGCCCATGTTGATGACAGTGAAAAATCCCTTGTGATCCACCAGTGCTTGCAGCACTATTGAAAAGTACCCCTTGCGGTTTATGTACTCGCCGGCTTGGTGCTCCGGTGCCAGATAGGGATATGGTTTCCGTCTATGGCCCCACCACAGTTAGGGAATCCCATTGCAGCAAAGCCATCCACTATGACCTGCATATTTCCCAGGGTCACTACCCTTGATATCAGCAGATCTTTGATTGCGTTGGTTACTTGCATCACAGCAGCCCCCACAGAAGATTTGCCCACTCCAAATTGATTCCCAACTGACCGGTAGCTGTCTGGCATTGCAAGCTTCCACAGGGCTATTGCCATTCGCTTCTCAACTGAGAGGGATGCTCTCATCTTGGTATTCATGCGCTTCAGGGCAGGGGAAAGCAAGTCACAAAGTTCCATGAAAGTGCCCTTATGCATGCAAAAGTTTCACAGCCACTGGGAATCGTCCCAGACCTGCAACACTATGCGGTCCCACCAGTCTGTGCTTGTTTTCCGGGCCCAGAATCGGCGTTCCATGGCATGAACCTGCCCCATTAGCACAATGATGCCTGCATTGCCAGGGCCCATGCTTTGAGAGAAGTCTGTGTCCATGTCCTCATCACTCTCGTCATCGCGCTGACGTCACCTACTCGCCTGGTTTCGCTTTGCCAGGTTCTGGTGCTGCATATACTGCTGGATAATGTGCATGGTGTTTCATGTGCTCCTAATTGCCAAAGTGATCTGAGTGGGCTCCATGCTTGCCATGGTATGGCGTCTGCACAGAAAAAAGGCGCGGAACGCCTGTCTGCCATTACTCTGATGGAGGGAGGGGCGACTGACGACATGGGTTACAGGGTTGGCTTACAGGGAATTATAATCAACAAAGGGGGTGGCTTTACATGAAGGAGAAACAAAAACAACTGTCACACAGAATGGCCTCCTCAACGATTGAACTCAAAACCCTGGGTTTAGCAGGCCAGTGCTCAACCCACTAAGCTATCCCTCCCTCTGGTATTTCAGGCAGGACTTCATTGAGGGAGGGAGGAAGGGGGGAACAAATGAATACAAAACAAATCTGGTCTATTTCTTATTTTGATCCACTCCATCTATTTTTTACATCTTTGGCTGGCAGCAGACGGTGCAGAAGGACTACAAGCCATCCACATCTCCTGGCTGCTCGGCAGAAGATGGTGCAATAGGACTGCTAGCCATCCACATCTCCTGCCTGCTCACCATAAGATGGTACAATAGGACTGCCTGCAGGACTAAAGAGAATGACCTGGTTGAGTCACTCCTAATTTAGTCCCTGCACCCATATCTTCCCAGGCGTTCCTGTCCAACCTTACCAAGGCAGCCAGGAGCACCTCGGACATGATGAGGATGGTTTTCAGGCCTATTGCACCATCTGCTGCCACAAGGCAATGGGTTGCTGCTGCTGTGTAGCAATGCAGTACTGCGTCTGCCAGCACCCAGGAGACATATGGTGACAGTGAGCTGAGCAGGCTCCATGCTTGCCGTGGTATGGCATCTGCACAGATAACTCAGGAAAAAAGACGTGAAATGATTGTCTGCCATTGCTTTCACAGAGGGAGGGCCTGATGACATGCACCCAGAACCACCCGTGACAATGTTTTTTGCCCCATCAGGCATTGGGATCTCAACCCAGAATTCCAATGGGCAGCAGAGGCTGCGGGAACTGTGGGATAGCTACCCACAGTGCAACACTCCAGAAGTCGACGCTAGCCTCGGTACTGTGGAAGCACTCCGCCAAGTTAATGCACTTAATGCACTTAGAGCATTTTGTGTGGGGACACGCACACTCGAAATTAGAAAAACAATTTCTAAAAAAATGACTTCTATAAATTCGACCTAATTTCATAGTGTAGACATACCTTTCAATTTTATGTTACTTTTTGAAGTACATATCCGTTCTTCAGTTAAATCTTCCTTTTGTCTTCCTAGGAACTTTGCTTGGTTATAACCATTGTCATTATTGTCAGGTACAAAAATGACCAGTGTGCTCATTCTACTTCTATAAGTGTGAACTGCAATTTTTGTACCTGACAACAATGACAATGGTTATAACCAAGCAAAGTTCCTAGGAAGGGGCAGGGGAGAAGGAAGCCAGACACAGCTACAGCCAGCCCTGACCACCAGCATTACCACACAACTCCCTGTCCTCCAGGCTTTTCTCCCTTTCCCGCCCACAGTCCCTCACTCAACCTCCTGCCATAGCTCCCAAATAACCTCCCTCCCACAATGCCCCACCATAGCTCCTCAAATCACCCACCTCCCCTCCACTTTCTCCCACAGCCCCCCGTCCCCTGCCATAGACCTCCCAAACACCATCCACCAGATCCCCAACCTGTCTCTCCCTCTGCTCCCTCCACCTTCCCTCAAACCCCCTCCCACCCAGCCATAAGGTTACCACCTCTGAAATGCAAAAACCCCACCAGCCTTCCTCCCCCAAGTCAAGCCCGCTGCAACTCCAACCCTTAAACACAAGGCAACTCTGCACACACACACCCAACAGCCACCTACAGTATCTAGAGGGAGAACACATATAGATAAGATTGTTAACATTGCCAGTCTCCTTACTTTTGCATGACTCAAACCCTCTCACACACGTGCGCTTGTGTGTTGGTGGACAGACAACTGCTGTATTTTCAACTGTTTTGAATATGTTATCGCTTAAATTGCGGAAGTGGGAATGCTGCAGCATCTTTAGCTGGACACAGAAACTTTTAACAGTAGATCTCCCAGTGTATTGTGATAATGTTGCAAATCTTTAGACCCACACACAAATACCCAGCAGATTAAATTATTTTTCTCACACCTGGCAAATCCATAAAAAAAAACTGGCCAGGCTGGTCAAATACCAGCCAGGTGGTAACCCTACCCAGCCCCTGTTCAAACCCATCCAATCCTATGGGTTTGAACAGGGGTGAGGCCTCATCTGGAGTACTGTGTCCAGTTTTGGGCCCCACACTTCAAGAAGGATGTGGATAAATTGGAGAGAGTCCAGCGAAGGGCAACAAAAATGATTAGGGGTCTGGAACACATGAGTTATGAGGAGAGGCTGAGGGAGCTGGGATTGTTTAGCCTGCAGAAGAGAAGAATGAGGGGGGATTTGATAGCTGCTTTCAACTACCTGAAAGGGGGTTCCAAAGAGGATGGCTCTAGACTGTTCTCAATGGTATCAGATGACAGAACGAGGAGTAATGGTCTCAAGCTGCAGTGGGGGAGGTTTAGATTGGATATTAGGAAAAACTTTTTCACTAAGAGGGTGGTGAAACACTGGAATGCATTACCTAGGGAGGTGGTAGAATCTCCTTCCTTAGAGGTTTTTAAGGTCAGGCTTGACAAAGCCCTGGCTGGGATGATTTAACTGGGAATTGGTCCTGCTTCGAGCAGGGGGTTGGACTAGATGACCTTCTGGGGTCCCTTCCAACCCTTATATTCTATGATTCTATGATTCTATGATTCTAATCCTCTGCTACCCCATCCCCAAATAAGCACACTCCAACTTCCTTCTACTTCCTCAAATTCTCCCCACAACCCCACCCAAATCCCATAAAACCTTCTGCGGCCATTGTCCCCTACCCATCCCACCTTCCTGCCACACTAAGTCCCCAAATTAACCCAACCCTTCACATAACCCCCCAAACACCCCCATTAAGCATCATGCCAAAACACTTCCCCAAGCCCATCCTCCCCTCCCAAAACCCTCACATGCCCACTACCAAACCCTCCTCCAGCACTGCTCACCATTCCTCAGGAAACCCATCCATTGAAACCTCTCCTACTTCCCCATTGCTAAACCAATTCCCTCCCTCCAATCACCTTATTCACACCTGTCCCCTCTCCCCCACTCCACCACCCCATACACCCTCCTCTGTTGGCCCCAGCTCCCAAGTCCATCAGAACCAGATCCAGTCCAGCTCAGCCGAACTGCCCCCAACTCCAAGCTGCACCTACTCCCTCTTCCCCTGCCTGGTAAACCAAATCCTGTAGCAGACTGTGACCAGCAAGGAGCACCAGCAACACCAGCCTCCTTCAGCAGTGGAGAGCTGCACCCTATTCTCCCTTCCAGGACCAGCGAGCCACTCGCTGCAGCAGGCTGCCCTCCCAAATGCCAGTCCCTGTCCAAAATTGCTCGCTCTCTCTGGACAAATCGAACAAAGATAGCAACAACAGCAGCAGCAAAATGTCTCTGGATGCAGGGCTGATCCAGGGCTCCCCCTTGGCTGACAGCAGCTGCTCACAGTCCCCATCCC